AAAGGAAGAGCAATTGGATGAACTACGAAGGCGTAGGAAAACGGTAGCTGGCAAACTTGATGCCCAAGAGAAGAGATTGAGCAAGATGGGATCAGAAGTGAGACTTATATTATTGTACAGATCCTTGTTGATCATACTGACTTTACTCCATAGAACAAGTCCCTTTCTCTGGCGACGGAACAGCTCACTTCTCTGCAGAATGAACTGAGGCAACTTGATTCATCAATTCTCGTCGACATGGCTCGATTATCGGACCACAAACGCACAGCTTCTCATTCAATCATGGTAACTAAGTTTGGCGGTCTATTAGAACTTGGAGAAAAGTTCACGGTAGGCATCAGGATCATTGCCCAACAACCACCCAGTTGACCTGTGTGATTACAGATTATTGGCGAACTCGGAAAACTACTTTCGAATGAAATTCCTCAAGAACAGACGCAGCCGGGTCATGGGAGGGCCCCATATTTTGGAAGAGAAGCTGCATCGAATTTGGTTGCAGAGGCGGCTCGTTGCGTTAGTGAGGTTGCTTTCAACCCGAATGCCGGGTCTGGACAAAAGCCGAGACCGCAGCGTCTTAGCGTTCAGCGCCCAGCAGGATACCCGGAAGGAACGGGCGAAGGGCCACTGACACCCATGCGCAGCTCAGTTGAGGGTGCAGAGAGTAGTTCGCGCTTCACCGACAAACCAAGCACTAGCTATCTTCCTCATCATCAAGGCAGTTCCTCGCTATCGGCCGCTGGTAGAGGGACCATGCCACCTAACAGGGAGTATGGTGCCCCGCTCGATGAATTCGGGCGACCATTAGACGGGCTACCTCCCCAAGCCAATACCATGCCACCTCTCAGGAATAGTGGTGGTAGTCCACCTATCCAGCAGGTACCCCTTTCCGCAATCCAGCAATCGATGCGCCACCCGGATTCCGCTATGCCACCACCAGGCCAGAGTGGATTCAGACCTCCACCTCAAGATGGTCGCTCTGGTTTCCGAGCTCCAGGGCCACCACCCGCTTTGACTGGTCCACCACAACAGCGAGGTCAGGCACCCTATAACCAACCTGGCATGCCTCAGTATCCCCCAAAGCAAGGTGGCGCGACTGTCGAGCGTGGTCTCACATTATCTCTACCCATACGGTCACCTGCCCCTCCAGAATTGGATGAAAATGGTAGCCCAATATCGCCTTCAAAGCAGTCGAACGCAAGACCATCCGGTTCAAGAAGACAGGGTACAGTTGGAGAAAATGTTGTTTTGGCGGACGAAGCTAATCTGAAGAGAACGTCCACACTGCCACCCAAGGTCGGTATCGGTCTTGGCGACTTCCCAGAATGGAGTCTTGGCCTAGGAGAGCTGGGTCTAGGAGATAGTCCGATTAAAGAACTCCCAGAGCCCAAGGAGGAGGGGGCTAATGCTGCTGCTGCTCCTTCCCCTAATCCTGCTGTCCAAGAAAGACAGGATATACCCGTTCCCCCTGCTAAGGAAGAGACCGTCTCTTCCGATGGCAAGAGTCTTGCGCCTCTCTCTGCAATTCCCAGAGGCATGCAATCCGAAACGAATAGCGCTGCACAAACGCCAATCACAGAAACCCCTACCAGTTACTCTAAAACTCAAACACCGACTGCAGGTACTCCAACGACGACAGCCAATCCAGATAATATCGTTATCCATCATATCATAGACAACCCAAGCACAAGAACGGGATCCAGTGGCCGCTTTGCCCAGTTCCCAGACAAGAGAAAGCAAACCACTCAACAAGGGAGTGGTGGAGAGTCTCTTCTCCCTCCTCATCCCAAGTATACTGCCCATCCCGGAATGGACAGGACGCCTTCACCAGGGCTGGGCAATCAGGATCTGAAGTCACTCCAGGAGACTATCAATAAGGAAAAGGAAATAGTTACTTCGTAAGGCTTTCTCAGCTTGATATCGCCGGTATTGGAATCGCTAAGCATGTTTTAACCAGAGCTCAACGCTTGTCGAGAGATCTTGCTGTTGGGTCAGAAGCACTAAAGCAATGGGGAGCCGGAGAAGGAGAAGATCTCTCTGTACGTATCAAATCTCTCCTATATTCGCGACTCCACGTCCGCGAACAAGCATGATGCCACCTCGACCGAACACTATAGAACCTGACGTCGCCACTTTAGGATCTCTGGCATTCAGCAATGCTTTTAACGAACCATCTGTCGACAGCTCTCAATACATTCGCTGATCATCAGCTTTCCATTCGAGCTCAGCTAAAGGACGTAAGAACAAAGGAAGAGCAATTGGATGAACTACGAAGGCGTAGGAAAACGGTAGCTGGCAAACTTGATGCCCAAGAGAAGAGAT